ATTTTAACTATGCTTCTGAACTGATAAATTACACAGGGACTCATGTTTTTACAGGAATGTGTATTGGGAAATGTCCTTTTGAGCATAGCTAGAGAATAAAGATTGAATGATTACACTCGCCACGTACAACTTCATGAAACATCATTTCATTTCCGTATCAATAAAACATTATCCAATAGTGCAATACAGTTTAAACGGCGCAGACTCATACACGATGCATTTTTGCAGACAGGCGGGGATGATGCACAATGATGACTCGAACAGTGAGAAATTATGGATAAAGAAGACAGTGATCCAGTACAAAAACTACGCTGTTATATAAATGGTTCAGAAATGTCACGAGGAAGGTTTACACCGGACTTTCTCATCAACCGTGACCGATGAGCTGACGTCACAAATGATGAAAGAATCTGTACCATTTCGGGTTTGATTTGAACTAAAAATGTAATTTTTGGATTAAGAACAAAAAGCTGTAGTTAGTAGTCAAGTAAACGGAACATTTGCTCACACCAGCGGTAAGAAAATTGAACTGGAGACCGTTGAAGTGATCCCCAAGTTCCGGTAGATATTGAATGAACACCACAACTGGCATTGGGCATAGTGTAACAAAAGCCGAAGCAGAATTATTCTGCAATTTACTTTGAAGTGCTATTAGCCCCATCCTGGTTGTACTACCATTTTTCCGTTACCAAATCACCAAATTGATCTAGTTCTTTATGATGAGGTCGAAATTCCCCAAGGCATGCAGAAACCAACCAGAGTAAAATTATGGTCTCACCCAAAAGGTATGCCCCCTGGGCGGCAGTGTGAAATGCTATTAGCCCTCCCCACTCCACAAAGATGCATTAAACACCTACGTGGTTACAACACCCATCAATCTTTATCAATTCTTACTGACACTGTGCGCTGCTTCATCATACGCGCTAGCTGATCGGGACAAAAGACCCCAGACATTTTCAAGCAGATTAACTCCGAATTGGAGTAGTCAGTTCATTGCCTACCAGATTTTACGTGATCATTTAACCACTTTTTATGGTTTTCGGCCTGCATTTCTGATCTCTTCATTTTCCGTCATGGTTTGTGTGGTTTTGCTCATGACTTCTCAATTTTTTTCGGCAGGTAGGTCATACGCTTTCGAGGTACTAATGCATAAACTGTACAATTCCCCCGTGGACTCCTTTCCTAATAAATGCACATGCAAGAACACACGCGGACTTAGACTGCAGTCGAGGCTTATTTTCTGCTCTCGACAAGCTTTTATCACTATGCTTCAAATGATTTTTTCCCACCGGCTGTAGTTCGGCTGCATGGTGCAATGAAAAGTTAATTCTGAATAACCACGAAAAAATACGGTATATATATATTGATGAACGAATTTATCATTTAAAAACTCGTTCGGTTCCAACCTTAGTATTGTATGTCTGAGGACGGACGCCCAAAGATCACGCAGGTCAGGTCAAGTTGCATCGGACTGAATATGGCGACGGCCAACCAAGCGTCGAGAATTCACTCGATGATATGCTCACTCCATGAGTACCCACCTCTACTGAGGTATAAGTGACAAATAGGCTCTAATCTCACCAAACTGGCCAGTGAATTGTTAGAATTGGGCGTTCCACGAGGTACAAAAGGAAAAAAGAGAAGATATCTTTAACGACTAGTATACCTCCGTCTGTCTACGCTGCTATAAATGGGAATAATTCCATACATCACTTAGAAACCTGTACTGTCTGTAAGTAAACATTTTCCTTTAGAAGCTGATTCCAACTAACAACTATCCTTTTTTTTAAAGAAGGGCTTACGTATGTTTAACCGGAACCTTTATTTTATGAGCTCAAACTTGTGTCTTCTAATTTCACATTGGAGAGCGGCTATATATACCATCAATGATGAGATGTTTCTTTCAGTTCTACCTGGAGTCTTCTCCTTCCTAATGCGAAAATATCGAAGGCTTTCCTGATATGTGCGTCCCTTATGTTATTCGACCATTTTGGTGGCCAATCTCTGAACCTCCTGCATGTAGGCAGAAGCTTTTTGAATAAGGGTAACCAAGCCTGTACTCAATACTCTAACCGCTGTCTGACTATTGAATTGCATACAGCGAGGAAGATTTCAGGTCGTCTGTATGTAAGGTCACATGGCAATTTAAATAATTCGCCTTCAGCTGTGTGCCTCCTTACTGCACACTTGTCTGTTCATTTGAATTTATTTGTTATTACTATTCCAAATTCCTCAGATTACCTTGCCCGTTGGTAAGGCCCTGAATGGACCTGCAGTTCACTTGTTCCATTCCACCTCATTACTTTGACATCACCTGCAAAGATGTAGGACAAGTACACCAGATTGCTATGCAAGTCGTTTATGTGAGTAAGTCTCATAAGTATCTCTAACTCCGAGCCCTGAGGAACTCCGCTATTTGACTGAACCAGTTTCAAGCACTCCTCTCCAAATATCACAGAATGAGCGTTGTGAGATAGAAAACACTTATCTACCTGTGCAACTGCTCTTGAATTCGGAAACCTTCTATTTTGGTCAACCGCAGGTGATGATTAACGGACTTACTGCTGAAGCTCAGTTGGTAATCCTGTACGGTATTACATTTGTCTGTCTTTGTGGCAACCTCCTTCAGCAGGTACAACAGGCTTTGAGGCATGCGCGCTGCTTCATAAAAGGATACTGTGCTTCTGTCATGAGTATGTTTCGTTCTGGATGTTACACTATATATGTTCTAACTAGCTTTTCTAGTCCCCTGCATAACACACTACGTAAACTAACCGGACGATAGCATTTAAAGTTCGTTTTCTTTTCTCCGTTATGGATGACTACTAGGAGGTCTTTTTCCACTCAGGTGGTACTCTGCCTTGAGGCTCGAAGTAGTCTGCAGACAGCCTGCGTAATGACGTCAGATATCGGCCTGAGGATGGCTGGGCATATACCACCCGGTCCCTCAGCTTTNCAGCTTTGAAAGCCTTACAATCTCCAAGTACCTTTGATACTTGATTCAACTTTAACCACAGTTTCTCCATTACGTTTTGTGTGTGACGACTGAGATGCTCTTTTCTTGCCAGTGTTTGTTCAAGGTTGAAAATTCGGTTAAGTAGAAATGACATAACGAACAGGAGGTTCGCGCGCTGTGTTCAATTGTTGCACAGAACCGAACTTTACTCAAAGTCAAAGTCAAAGTTTTATTATGGGAATAGCTTACAAGCTGGTGCTTCTCTTGTCCCATAGGATGTTTACATAGATGAATCGTTACACATCGAAAAAAGGGGTCACATAGGGATCCGGGTAGGAGATAGAGAATGTAGGCTACAGTGAATCCCATTTACCTTTAGTGTACAAATGTGAGTTGTGCCAATGTTTTGTCGAGTCTCTGCTTGAAAGATTCAATAGTGGGTGCACAAACGACATGAGATGGAAGGGCATTCCAAGATTTGCATACTCTGACAGCAAAAGACTGGCGCCGGCAATCCAGTCGACACTTGGGAATCAGTAGTTTGAAACGGTGTCCCCTTAGGTGTACATTGTTCGATAACATGAGAAGCGATCGACACGGATGGTTTGGGTTCTTCAGTATTTGATACGTCAAAATCAAGTCTCCTCGAGTTCGGCGATACTGAGCGGAATATAGTCCCAATGATCGCAATCTGTCCTCGTATGACAGGTATTGGAATCCCTTGACCATCTTGGTGGCCATCCTTTGTGGACGCTCAAGCATCTTGCGATCGCGCTGAAGCCATGGACTCCAAGCTTGGATGGCGTACTCTGCATAGGGTCGAATGTACGCTGATAGCAAACGTGGGAATAGTGATGATTCAAACCGGTCGAAGACTCACCGAAGTAAGCCGACATTCTTCATAGCAGCAGACGAAGCCTTAGCACAGTTGTTGGAGCAGCTTAAATCCTCCTGAACAACAACTCGTGCGCGATAAACTATAAAGGATAGAAAAGTTTTTGTATGCATAGTTAACAAAGTATGGAGACAGAATAACATCTTGAAAAACTATACAGGTGACCTCTAGCAAGGAGAAATATTAATCGTCAGTGAAAGTGAATCGACCTCAATGGGAATATGAGAATGGGTACATTCAACACATCAAATGCCAGTCCACAATCAGAATGCATTATCGGAATAAATAGAAGTTAGATCAAAATTCCAGATTCAATATCTAATGAGGATGAAATGGAGGGACCAATGGGAGCAGTTGAATTAAGAGTGGAAAGCGCACAAACGAAAGTATTCACCGGAACTAAACCCGGTTTATTGATTTGAGGATGTTTGCCCATAATAGTTAGGGATTACGTGCAGCGTCAACGAAAAAAAAATATTTCAGATTAGTGTGTGATTAAAGGAACAAAGTTTGAACCGTATGGCACTAAAGGGATCACGCATCTCAGGTGTGGCAGTATACAATGTCAGTAAACCCGTCATCCAGGCCCGAGGTTGAATCAGCACGTGGTATCCCGTGCCAGTGCTAAGTTCGCCTACACTTATTTGAGTACATAGGCGTATTGCAAGGAATGTAGGACAAGTGTGACGGTAATGTTGAGCATGGTTATGTGGGCGCTTCAGTTTGGAGCAACAGCCAACCAGTTCCATTCCTCGTGGTGTGAATAGTTTCGAATTGTTCGCTGAAAATCATCATATCATGGTAGCGTGACTTAGCAATGCGGTCAGGAGTAATGCTGTTGGAAATTGGAACGCAAAGTTCATACTTCATGGGAATAAGACAGCAATAATGTTGTACTTGACCTGAGCAGATGGAAAAAGATGCACGACGGCCTAGGCAACCTGTTTCCAGACAGCACATGAAAGTACAGTCACGTGACAAAAATCACGCATCCGATGAATGCTTATATGGCATTTGATATTTGAGGAACCTTTTGACCTCAAGCTCTTTACATCCATCGAGGCTTCACAATACATATAAAAAGGGTTTGAATCACTTCATCAAGAAACGAATTCCACTCAGTCCAGAGGACAGTAAGTCGTCAGTACTATGTCAGTCCACTGCAAGCGAGTTGCACGCGGGACGAACGGAGTCGCTTCCCGACGGGTGCTCATTCCCATCGAACAAACACAACAATCCAGTCAAACAGTCGAATGGTATTTCAAAAATCTCATGCAACCAAACGACCAACTGATCTTCGTGCATATCACAGAGCCAAGGATGAACAATGCACTACTGGGTTTACGGATGCCCAACTCGCCCGTTCTCGTGGGAACACAGATTCCATTCTCTAGTAAATTGTTGAATGATGCGAAAACACTGTGTGGTGATTATGTGCATCGGGCCATGTCGGTTCACGGGATCACAGCTCGTGGATTTGTGTACGTGGACAGTAAGCCGCGTTGTAAATTGATTCGTGTGATCCAATCGCACAATGCGGATCTGGTGTTGCTCCCGGGTGGGAATAGACAGCGCTCGTTTTGGGATACATGGAAGCGAAAAAATGGCTCGGGTACACTGCCGATAGTGATCACGCACCCCTTTCAGTTGACAGCTTATTAGTTCATTGGATCATTCAAATGCATAATAAACGGCGGAGATTGTTGAAATTATGGTAGATTGTCAGGACAGAAAGCGTGTCGGTGACAAAAGAGATATGCATTTAATCATTTTGTAGAGATACCATTACTAAAATTAATTTCCACAATACATGTTTTCTGTCTAGTATTTCTCTTTCTTGCATTCGACAGATGATCCATTCTGTGAATAGGGCATATCATTAGACACCCAGTATTGTTCGAAGTGATCACCGAACAACCGTGGCATCATTCACAGCATTTCGATCAAACATGTAAACCAAAATGTGCGAGAGTAGTAACGAATCAGTTTCTGAACCTGATGTTATGATTCCACAAGGCGGTGCTCGGTCGAGGTTAGTCGTTTATTGAGGATTTCAGATGGGACATCACCAATTTGGCATATATAACACAAACATCTAATCAGAAACATACCATCGCAGTTCCTGGTCACACGACGGGTAATGAATGTAGTAATTAGTAGTTCTTCTTCGAGATACAGCAATTTGCCCTCGGTGGTCTTCTCAATTTTTGATCGTTGAAAGTGATCACCAACCATGTTACCTACTACTCACAAGTATCTCACAACAGTTGTAATATTTGCGCTATCGGATGCGGGGAGAGCTTCGATCGGCTGTTCAAATCACAGTCAACCAACACTTGATTTTTTGTACGAGAGTCGGATCTCATTCTTTTTGGGCTACGCACAGAAGTGGAAATCACTTCGCATAAATATTGTCATATCTCACACGCAACTGGTCTTCATGACGATTGCCAAGAGTAGTTTAGATGATCACCTGTGGTGAGCATAGACAAACTCAGTGAGATTAAACTCACGGTAATTGTATGTTGTCTTATTTAGTGCAAAAAATTCTGCATACCAAGATTAAGTCTCCAAAGTTCGTTTTTTGATAGATCGATTTACAAAAGGACTGATTGCAATATATAGTTTATATTTTATTACGCTTACCGATGGTTTATATTCGCGTTATTTTCATTTGCAACAGTACAAGGCCAAGAGGACAAAATTGAATCTGTGCTACGCAACCCAATCATTTTGTAGCAATCCTGTCAATTCACAATGGTAAAAAAATCATAGACCAGTATCCATCAAAGACATTGGGACATGAATACTAAAACTCCATGGTTGTAATCCTTTGAGTCAGAACATCAGTATTTTGACCCGAACGACATTCTCGAATTTCACCATGGCCTTGGTCACACATCGTCACTTTCTTTACATACCTTGGTAACCTGCGATGAGCCGCAGTTTTGTTTACTCACTAATAAGAGTAAAAGGTCATTGTTGATATGATAAATAAAATTCCGGTACAAAAGAAAATCGCTCTAAACGGGTTTTTGATTCATCGGGAAATCACAGATGGCAGTGGGCAATAGGAATGCAGTAGATAAGCGTTCATCAAAACCACCAATACGCATAAATGAATACCGGAATAAAAACGGATTGAATGATTCGAACGGATGAGTATATGAAACAAAAGATATGGGTCTTGAGAATGCAATCAGATAAATAACGACTGGCATGTGAGCTATACTATCAGATGCACTTCACTACGAAACAAAAAAATCATTTGATAGTCTAGAGCATTCATCAGATCCCCGATTCGCCAAGCAATTGCTGGGACAAATATGAACCATTTTTCTCAAGGTCATGCTGATTACATTCCAGCTGAATTATACAAAAGACGATGCTTTGATTTGAAACTCAATGAAACTAAACAGACCGTATTGAAGAGATGCATCCTGACAAATGCATAATTCCGTTGTTACCCAGCACGTCATCATTGCGGAATAAAATCCTCAACAAATTTTGACTTAACATCGGGTACATCGCATCGTACCTTTCCGTAGAATTTCTTGAGGATTTGCAGTAGACTATTTTGCAAAGGCTCCAAAGAGGTAGTATTCACACCATTGTCATAGTCCACCAAACTTTACTGTTTTAGATGAGCCTACCGCTCGTAACCTATATCAAAACTATTCTGATCTATTCAAACCCCGGCAATTGGTACTGTTCATAGTGAACAAACTCGTCCTTCTGTTAAGAGAAAAAACTGTCTACAAATTTGTCAAGACAATAAATCGTGTTTTGTTTAATGATCATTGTTCAAAATCAAAATTTGATAAACAGAAACAAAGCGCAGAGTGTTATAGATGCAGTGAAGCCCATTTCCATTTCACTTTTAGCAGCATAAGGTTTTGAGTTTTATCTATTCAAACCACTGTTAAAAGAAATCACATTGGTTGAGCCAAACGACTAATGCTCATCGAGAATATTAAAGAAGACAATGTCTTTCACTTCACTCGAACTTGATAATCAGCGGTGACCAAGTTCTTAACGATATTTTCACCCCGGGTTCGGAAGCCTGGAGTTCGGACCATCGCACCGTCACCCCAGACACCAGGCTTGGTGAAAGGCAACATTTATCATGAACGATGTACAGTCAAATCTGGACTACAGAAACCTGGTACAATATGGCACCCTAAGTCTGAAAGATCGAAGGGAGCGTTAACATCGCTGAGCAAAACATTCTTGTGAGTCAGTTGGTTTGACCAATGGATCTTTGTTACACGAGAGAAACAGAGGATTTGATTCTATTGTTCAGTGAAGTTCGTCCCGAGATAAACAAATAGAGCGTGAACTGAAAATCTGAGAAGCTGAGAAGGCTGTTTTGACCTGATTACATCTCATCAGCAGTGCGAACTCATCGTCCAAACTGAGGATCCAACCCAGGAATTTACATACAGAACAAAAGCATGTTAACCACTTGACTGCCGGCAGCTGATCAAACAATTTGATGTTTTGACAATTCAGGGTTTTTCGGTGCTTCTGAGCGTTTCTGATCAGACTTCATGTGACTTGTATACGATAAACTTTACCATAAAATAAAATCAAAACTTCTTTTATTATCAATGTGGAAACAAGCGTTCGGTGCGCAATGGTTTTGTTTCAATTAAAATCACAAAAGCAAATACTGATAGAAATAATGTGTGATATCCAAAACAAACTTTTGTTTTTCATCACCGTTAGCTGTGTAACAAAAGAACCAATTAGAAATCAACAAAGGTAGTGAAACGGACAAGCTTCATCGTCGTAGTGACACTGAGGAGGTACGTTTCAATGCCACTAATCCTGCCCATATTTGTGTCATGTCAGAACAATGTTCAATAAGCCGCAGTGAGTTCCCCAGAAATTTGCATCGTATATTTGCCTATTAAAAAGAAAAAAAAGTGTTCGAAGGATTCGCGTGCTCAATACTGAGGTTTCAAAGCTCGACTCATTCATATGTATGAATTATCCTAAACCGCTGTTGTCGGACACTTGTACAGCAGCATGTAAAGTCGCTGTGGCATCTTGAAACCTCAAAAAAGTTGGCCCCGATGAGATTCAGAATGTGAAAGACAAGCGACAGTGAGGATGCTGATAACAAGCATAGCGAAATACCAAAAAAACAATTATTAACTGGCTAACTAGCACTTTGAAAATGCAGGCAGAAAACGGGAACGACTGAAGATGGGTCAGTTAGATTTGTGTGTTGGAGGAACATTTTCACAATTTCCTTAGATATAGAGACGAAATTTACAAAACAGATTACATGTGCACACGATCAATCGGCAAATTTTACCGAAATAATCCATGTCGCGTCGCACTCAAAGCTACAATAACAAGTCAAGTGTGATCGGAATTACATGCTATGTTGAACGTGTTGCTCATATTCAGCAACGCGAAACGCGTGTTTCACATTACAAATTCTCTGAAACCTTGTGATTGATCAGTGGCTTATTTTCAAATAGATAATATTCCTCTCGTCCATTGTAATCTTTCAAACTTGTTATGGTAGCCTCGTTGTGGATGATTTCCGCAATATAGTCATTCTAGGCGCCAATGTGCGTTCTCAAATTTGACCAGTTTACGGATTGCACGATAGAAATATACAGACGAGATGCGCGTAGTTCAGTTTTATTTTATTTGTCAATTTGGTGAAATCATAATTTCATTCCAACATCTGTGTTGGCGCCATCGATAATCCCGATTTTCACCACCTTTATTTTATTGAGGTGTCATTTCAAACACAATTATTCGTCGACTGTGGACGATAGGAGAGTAGCTAGTGTTTCATTCGATAGCCGATATAAATGGGAAGAAGAGTGGGAACAATTGAAGGCACGAACAATCATTGTCAAAATCCACATGGTGGTCAATCCAGAAACGATTCAAAATGATTAACTGATGGCTACGGGAGTTTTGAGAGGCAATCCTGGCATTTCTGTTGCAAAGTACGCATATACTAGTCCTGCTCAAAACCTCGCGCCAGCTGGAAACGTGATGAAATCTCAAAGAGGTTTGTAACAGTGCATATATATACTTTATTACAGATTATGCCGTCGGCACGATCTTATGTATCAGGTCCACAGGACCATATTGGTGTACTACCCGAAATATACCATTCGGACGGATTTCGCCCAGTAGTGAGTTCTCAAATATCAGGTTTTATTCTCAAGATAAAATAAACAGCTGTACTATGGATGAACCTAGTACGCATTTAAGCGTACAACGATAACCTGAAAACTAAATCGTCGCAGCAAACCACATTCGGTCTGATTCAGAGAAAGGTTTGCAAGAAACACAGTGCTACTAAATTTACTTCGGGGTTCCACACGTTAAGGAGATAGCTCTGATCACAAGAGGTAACGGAATAGACTGTCTCCACAAACGACCACCAACACAACGGTCACCGGGTATCACTCACGACACTTGCCACACTGGCGTGATCATCCAAAACATCCACATGCATTCACCACTCACAAGAGACAATATCACACACACACAACATAAATCTGCATATGAACTACGCGAGAATGCTCACTCCAAAAAGACAAAGCAGCAGGTGACTCAGTGGAACGTGGAGATCGAGACAAACAGTCTGTGAGTTCGTCTTCTCAGTTCGCGATCAGATGCAATGGTAACAGGTGAGAGGTCACCCGCTGGACACCGATCTGCCCGATGACCAAAATTCCATCAACATTCAGTCGCATTCAACTGTGTTCCAACAACCTACGCTTGAAAGTTATCAAGGTCATTGCAAACACCAGTCGAACGCAACTGTATAAATGTCGGAGAACTCAACTCATTGAGTATGACAACCTGTACGAGCACATATATCAACCAGTCAAGTTATCATGTCAGCTGATTGCAATCGAATCCCACATGGCACCATTGAAAGTGTGACCCGTCGAGTTCTCATTCCCATCGAACAAACACAACAATCCAGTCAAACAGTCGAATGGTATTTCAAAAATCTCATGCAACCAAACGACCAACTGATCTTCGTGCATATCACAGAGCCAAGGATGAACAATGCACTACTGGGTTTACGGATGCCCAACTCGCCCGTTCTCGTGGGAACACAGATTCCATTCTCTAGTAAATTGTTGAATGATGCGAAAACACTGTGTGGTGATTATGTGCATCGGGCCATGTCGGTTCACGGGATCACAGCTCGTGGATTTGTGTACGTGGATAGTAAGCCGCATTGTAAATTGATTCGTGTGATCCAATCGCACAATGCGGATCTGGTGTTGCTTCCGAATGGGGATAGACGACACTCGTTGTTGGACAGACGGGAGCGGAAACGCAGTTCCAATTCACTGACAATGGTTGTCACACACATGTCCGACTGATTGGTTTCTGACCAGTCATTGACCTCTGCGCATTCATACACCACACTGTTATCGTCATACTGCTGCGATAGTGCTCTGCTCGGATTTCGTCAATTTCCTGGAACAAAGAATCACTAAGGCGATTTTTCTGTGTTGCATTTAACCATTTCGTGCAGTCCTTTGTACTATGAACATCTAATTTTGTATGAACTCTGTGGCCAATATGAATTGTTCTGATTTACGATTCCGTGGGCGTCCGCGCAACACAGTGGGAGTTCTATGTGATCCCTCAGAAATCATCCAGCATGGATGAACGCGCTAAGTTCTAATTAAGATATTGATCCTATTGCTGTGCTTGGGCACATGTCAAGAACTACATCGCGTATTCGGAAACCATCCTCTTGTGTGACCAAATGTGTTCGGGGCTTAACACTACCAGGAAGCTAAAAGCACTGGTGATAGAAGTGCTTTTACCTACGCATTTGAAGAGCATGTAAGGAACGGTAGGGTGACCAGCCATCTTACACTGTTTCGTGGCAATAGCGTCCCAGATGTTTTTTAATGGGGGAATTTAGTTAGTAGACAGCATAGAGACATTTTATAGCCCATGGTTACAAAGAAGTTCACTTGTTACCCTTTTGTTTGAAAGTAAACCTGCAAGATAGGGTATGGGTGAATTTCGGTATACGTTTATGCGGACTGCTTTTTGTCGGTATTCAGATTGTGCGAAGTGATTGGAAGGACAACATGCGTGCAATGGGCGGTTAGAGTTTTCGAAAAGGCTTTCTTCAAAGTTGACAGAAGAAATTGTTTGATAGTCTAAAATTTAGGAACAAAGTTAGAAGGCGAAGAAATGTTTCTTCTATATATTGCTCTAGATATTGCCATCTTCAGTTCGATTAGCAAATTGAATTATACAAGGTCTAATCCGATGTTGATGAAATGAGTATGTATTTACGTGCACTTGTACTGTTCGCTATGTAGGACACAACGAGGCGTTTGTCTAAGAGAATTCCTGAACATTGTCCGATCGCCCTTTGAAACGGGACAGTGAAAAGCTTGAACAGCTCAATCCTGAAATATCTGGTCGACAGTGGTCACAGGATTGACCCAGGAACATCATTTGCAAGTTTCTTCACAGCACCCCAGAGCGACGCTGACAGAACTCGTTTTGGGGATTGGCTTACGTGTGACGAACCTCCGGCAATCTAGAAATAGTGAGCTTATTTTCATGTTGATCAGTGAGAACACAGTTATCTTGGCCGGAGGATTCAATCAAAGGCAACTTACCAGCCCGTCCGCTTGATTTATTTGTTCCAAGCCGGGCAGTGAGAATCTGGTGTCACGCAAACCAATTTGTCCTGTTCATCAATGGGGGAACAACAAATGGGGAACAACAAAGCAAAATTGGGAAAGCAGACTGGTATCTGTTGTTAGAAATAACTGAGGCGAGAAACTGCCAAAGCTTTCGAATTTGAATTGATGTTTGCCACAGGTCACCAATGCAGTTGTGCATCTAAGTTGATTAACTAAGATTGTTATCTGTGGTGAACAGTGGATGTTTGACAGTGAAAAAAAGATTATTTTCGATCGCTGCGAGACTTGTACGGAATGCAGCGCGTGCAAAAAATATATGAGCATACAACAAACCTTCTTGAGTTCAAACCTATCAGAAGTCGTGTGGAGAAGGACCCATTTGAGAACGATTATAGATAAAGTATCTCAGATAGGAGGAAAGAGAAAAGGGTTGACACAGCACCACATCATCTGGGCATTTCGAAATGCGCACAAGAGAAACACGAGAATTATCGCAAACTTACGTGGGGATAACGTAACTCCTTGAACAACAATGAATTTGTTGACTAGATATTTTAGTGAAGCCTCTACAAGTGAGGTGGTTTGTCCCCCATCTGTAAGTGTAGCGCAGTAGATTGAAGGACGCGGCTGGAAATCATCCATTATGATAAACGCGTAAAGTTCCTATTAAGATATTAAGTCCATTGCTGTTCTTGGATGTCTTATGGACTCATGCCCGTTAAACATTCAAATTTTTACAGATTTATTTGATATCATGCTTCGGAGATACTCACGGAATCACATTATGTCTCGGGCATGCCAGTGCGTCTTTTGATCCTACATCGGCTTGTGTGACACCAGATTCTCAATGCCCGGCTTGGAACAAATAAATCAAGCGATC